CTTGTCTGCTCTATTTGATGTCGCTGTGGAATAAATTATCACAAAAATAGCTAAAAATACTTAAAACATCACACATTTGTTTGAATTTATGACATTCATAAATTCTATGTAGTTGCTTTTCTTTTACTCTTTCTCTTTGGGGGCCTGCCACCCATTTCTCAAATAAATACACAGAGATTTATTCTTACTTTTGAATGCCCGACCTTAGCTTGGCTTGTTTCTAGCCAGCTTTTCTTAAGTTAAATTATACTGTTTACCCTTTGCCTCTGAGCTTTTACCTTCCTCTAGTCTATATACCTTTCTTTCCTTCTTACTCTATGGCTGATTGTATGGCTAAGTGACTGGCTCCTGGCACCCTCCTCCTCCTCCTCTTTCTCCTTCTATCCTCTCTGCCTAGCAGCCCCCCCCCCATATCTCTCTCCTGACTTGCTATTGGCTGCTCAGCTCTTTATTAGAACAATCAGGTGTTTTAGACAGGCAAAGTAGTACAGCTTCACAGAGTTAAACAAATGCAATATAAAAGAATGCAACACATCTTTGCATCATTAAGGATAAACAAATTTTTCACAGGATAAACAAATGTAACACATTTTAAATGAATATGCCACAACAATTCTATACTCAAATCAAGTTTCCATTGCAGTATGCAGTGTGTCTACTAGTGAGGGATTTTTTCATAATTATATAACTTGAAGTGGAAAGACCTGTTTTTAATCCAGCACTTTTGAAGTGGGAAGATAAACCTTTAGTCTAGATCTTTTGAGATAGGAAGATCCACCTTTAATCTGGGCTACACCTTCAGCTGGCAGCCCATATGAAGGACACAGAAGAAGGAAGCTTGTTCTCTTATCCTGCTTGCTTCCTCTTTCACTGGCAATCCATTCTTTCACTGGCCCTAGAGCCTACTTCTTTGGGACTCCAGTCTACACTGAAGACCAGCTCAGACATCCAGCCTCACAGACTAAAAACTATTAGATACTTGGATCTTATGTTGGTAGACAGTCATTGCTGGACTAACTGAATCAAAGCCTGTAAGCCATTCTAATAAATCCCCTTCACACACACACACACACACACACACACACACACACACACACACACAC